CCTTCCCCGGGTTTCTCCATGGCAAGGCTCAAGGCAGAACAAGCTCTCGTTGGTTTGCAAAACATGTGTAAGATCTAGTGTGGGCATTGCTCACATTCTCCACCAAAAAAAAAAAATTAAAAAGATCCAGTGTGGGCAGAGGTCCAGGGGCCTGGTCCTGGCTCCTTCCTGAACTGAGCACTGGCACCAGAAACCGTAGGACAGGGGCTAAGGGCTTAGAAACTCACGCAGCCAATTCCAGGGATGCCCAGAGCAAAAAGGCTGCTCCTTCCCTCTGAGATGTCCGCCTGGCTAAAAGGAAGTAGCCAGGCTCCCTGAAACTGCTATTAAACCTGGGGAGGAGATCAGGCGACGGCTGAAGGGCTCTTCAGTATAAGAAAGCATGCACGGGCCAGCAGGTGGCACAGCGGCTAAGGCACTGGACTGCAGTTCAAGTCCCAAACTCAGCAGCTTGAAACTCACTCCAGCGTGAGTGCTTGCATGCGTGCCCACAGTCCTGAGAGGGGAATGAAGGGGAAGGGATAGTGGCATGGCCATCCCCCCGGAGGGTGATTTCTCACTTTCTCTCTCTGTCTCTCTCCCTCTGTTTCTGAAGAACACATGTGCCCTATAGCAAAAATCTCTTTAAAAAGAGAGAGAGAGAGGAGAAAGAAAGAAAGAAAGAAAGAAAGAAAGAAAGAAAGAAAAAGAAAAGGTGCATGGATGGGGGGCCAAGCAGTGGAACAGAGGTAACACAATTGGACCCACACAGGAAAGGTCCTGGGTTTGCATCCCAGGACTTCTGCACTCACCAGGCAGGTCACGGGCCAGCTGAGACTGGGAGTGGATTGTGGCATAAAGACCCAATGGCAGGGTGCCCTCTTCCTCTCTGTCTTAGAATAAATAAATGAGTAAACCTTAAAAAAGAAGAAGGGATTCATGTATTTTGTGACTTTTCCTTCTTCTTCGTAGTCCTTCCTGGTTCTTTCTGGATTCAATTCCAAATGGGTGAAGACACTGGGTATGGGTTGGATGATTTGAGCTTGAATCTACCCTTTAGACCAAGGGACTGAGACCAAAGGAGGGAGTGCTTAGAGGAGATGCAAGACAGGGAGGCTGTAGCAAAGTTTTAGGGCTCTGAACATGTCTGTTAGGGAGAGTGAAGCAACAGAAACACATCTTGCCCCCACCTGCCTTAGTTTCCCCAGGCCCAGCGTGGTGGACAGGTGTGAGATTGCTCTCCTAGAGGCCATTTACCTGTGAAGTTCAGAGCGCTGTCACTTCCTGATTTCAGATGCACACACACAGCCGAGGCCCTGGTTGGGCCAGGACATCAGCTGCTGGCCATTTCCCCCCAGCCTCCCCAAGGGACACTGCTCCCCAAGGGTGGGGGCAAGGCATCCATTGGGCAGGTCGGCCTTCACGATCTTAGAGTTCCCAGCCCAGAGCTGCTGCCCGAATGGCCTCTAGGTCAAGACCCAGCACGTGTCCATCTGGCTTCCTGGGTCCCATGGGGAGAGGGTGGCCAACTGCCCTACTTTGCTGGAGACTGTCCTCCTTTTAGTGGGGAAAGACCCAGGAACTGCTTGTGTCTCCCTGAGCGGAGTGAGCTTCCCAAGGACAGAGCTCCCCAGGGCTCCTCCGTTTGCTTGGCCTGTGGTGGGAGAAAGGGGACATGGACTGCCCTGGGCTGCACCCTGTCACCCAGCAGCTGCTGAGGTTCCCAGTCTTCAGGGCCCTCACTGTGGAGAGCTTCCCCATGCCGCTTTCTCAGCCATGTTTGCTCATCAGGCCTCTGTCCCTCTCTTGGGGCCATACTGACCTGTCTCAGGACCCCAAGCCTCTGCCCGAGTCCCTGGCAGGCCGCTCCCTCCACCTGGATGCTGGCCTGTGGAGCTGACCCCTGGGCCCATCTTGGGGCCCTAGAGGCTCATGGAGAAACCCACCCACCCCCAGGCTAGCAGAGCCTCCTCCGTGGCCACAATGCAGCCCCGAGGCCTCATTTTCACACCTTCGCCCACAGGCAAGTCGGAACCAAAGCTGAGCTCTCAAAAGCTGGCCTCCAAACCCCTTCCCTTCCTTTTAGAAGTCTCTGCTCAGGTTCTCCACCTGGCGGCCAGTTCTTGGACTCCAGTTCTGAAGTTTCCTCAGCAACTGCCAGCCCTAGCCTTCGTGTGGCACCTGCAGAGGGCCACAGACAGGCTGTGGGTGGTCAGAGGCAGAGTGGGCACATGCCAGCCTCTCCGGGGCTGCCTAGACACTGCTCCCCCCAGGAAACAGGGACACCAGTCTGGGGTGAGGGACCTTTAAACCCACTCTCCCAGATTCTTAACCTGACCAAGGTGGAGCTGGAAAACTGAAACAGGGCCCACAGTGCCCACAACAGGCTCGGGTGCCCCCCCATTGAGGCTGTGACTGCAAAGACAACCCACCAAATCAGGGTCTGATGGGCGGGAATGCTGGGACACTCCCATTTGAGGTGCCTTAGCACAGATCCCGCTGTATCTGGGCGCCCTCTGCTGGCCATGACCTGAACCTGCATCTCCCCTGAAAAGGAGAAGGTGCTGGGTGGGCTTGCCAGGAGGGGAGCAACTGTGTGGTTCCCACCCCACCCCACCCCACCCCCGGGCTGGTTGGCTGGGAATCCACATCACCCCCTGCCCAAGTTCTGGTCCTGCTTCTTGTTGGGGTTCGAAGATGTGACACTTGAGATGGATCTTTGAAAATAACTGGAGTGCCAGTGAGCTGACCAAGAGCACCAAGCTTATGCTCCAAGCACTTTCTGTGGGGCTCTCAACAACCTATGAAGGGATCCGGCTGCCCCTCTGGTTCTCCACTAAGGCCACCCCCTCACCCCCTCCAAGGTGTCCCTCCAGTCTCCCCCTCCTTCCCCTGCATTATCACACATTTTAATAAAAAAAATTTTATTTATTTTTTTTTATTTTAGAGATTTTCGCTATAGGGCATGTGTGCTCACCAGAGAGACAGAGAAACAGAAGGGTGGATGGCCACACTGCAATACCTTGTCCTCCAGGTACACACATGTGGCTGGCATGAGTTTCAAGTCACCAGGTCCAGGACTCAAACCCCAGTCATCCACATGGGTGTTCAGTGTTTTAACCACTACACCACCTGCTGGCCCCGAATGTTCAGAATATTATAAATGTTTTCTCTCCTATCCCCTTATCCTCGGGCCACTGTACTGTTTCTCAACTCCCTTTTGTGACAAAACCTTTCAAAAGAGTTGGGGGCCAGCAGATGACGTAATGGTTACATCACTGGAGTCCCACATAGTTGACCATGGTGCGAGTCCCAGACCTGGTGGCTTGAAACTCACATTGGGCACGTGTGCGTACGCAAGATCCCAGAAGGAGAATAGAGGAGAAGGAATTGCGGCGTGGCCATCCCCCCACGGAGGTGATTTCTCACTTTCTTTCTTTCTCTGTCTCTCCGGCGAGTGCACGCACCCTATTGAAAAAAACTCTATTTAAAAAAAAAAAAGAGAGAGAGAGAGTTGTCCAGATCCTGCTGTTGCCCGTTCCTCCCTGAGCCAACAGCATTCCTGTCAACGTCACCAGCAACCTCTGCCTGCTAAACCCACAGCTGGCTACAGGTCTCCACTCCCTGATCCACTCTCCACCTGACCTCCAGCCCCCACCACCACCGTGTCTCTCCCTGGGCAGTCCCAGGTGCTCCCCCTTGAGTTGAGTGGCGGGGCTGGAGATTCTGGGGTCTGGCCTTGGCCCTCGCCCCTCTCCTCTCTATCCCCGCCCATTCTTGGGCTTGTCTCAATATGGACAACAGCCTCACCCCTACATCCAGCTCAGACTGCAACCCCACAGTGCCCACTCCTGCACCCTCTGCTGACCCACAGGCCTGTCCACTCAGTGGGCCAACACTGAGCTCCTAGGCTCCCCTCGAAAGCTGCTCCTCCCCCAGTCACCCCTTCTCAGATGATGGCTGAGGCCAAACACTGTGGAGCCAGCCTAGTTGGGCTCACTCGTCCCACACCCGCACCCCCCACTGTCATTCCCCCATCCGAACCCACGCCCCTCTCATCTGGACCACAGCGGAACCTCCCTACACCAGCCCTCATCAGCACATCAGCCAGAGGATCCCTCTAAAATACAACTAAGTCAGAACCTGCTAGGAGTTTCCACTGCAGGCGGAGCAAAAGCCAAAAGGCTGATAGTGTGTCGTTTACATGGGCTCCTGGCTTTGGGTATTACCTGCCTGCCCCAAATGCACTCATGCATTACAATGCAAGCAGAGGGCAGTGGGTTTTGCGGGCTGAGAACCTCAAACACCTGGCACAGCGCCCACAGTATTGGGTGTTCTCAGGTTAAGCAAGGCTGCCTGTTTCACAGCCCTTCACTATTTCAGATGGCCGGGCCACAGTGTAGACGGGGGCCAGCTTGGAGGCCACCCTCCTCTCATGTGGGAGACCTTCAAGGTTCCCACCTGCAGAGTACAGCAGCCAGGTGATCCTTCCCTGCACATCTGGCCACATCCCTGCCACTTCCAGCCTTTCTGGGTCACCCCCTCTCTAGACTCACCCACCAGCTTACCCTTCTCCCCCACCCCTTAGCACCATCAGGAGTTCTCCGGTCCCTAAGCTTTGCTCACTCCTAAGTCTTTGTCCATGCTGTGCCCTTTGCCTGAAATGCCCTTCCCTCACTGGCCAGTCTGTGCCCATCCTAAGGCTGGACTGAGAGCCTCTGAGAAGACTGCCTTCCAAACCGGATCCCAGGTGGACAACTCCTCCCATCCATTATCAGGCAGAACTGTCACCGCCTCTCTTCCAGGTACTCAGAGGTTGTGAATGCCCTGGGGCAGGGGAAATATAAGTGGCCAAGTGAATGGTTGGCACGACAGGCCCCCAGCCAAAGCTGCTTCCTCTGGAGGAGGAAGCCCAAGGCTTCTAAGGTTCCATGTGCTTCTCTTTCCTCGTTCAGCCCAAAGGGCAATTTTCCCACACTCCCTTGGAACCAGGAAGTTTCCCCACCCCTCCTGAGCCTGTATTCAGACAAACACAAAGCCCTTCTCCTTGCTTCTGCTCAACCAGTTTCCCCACCACCGCAAGCCCTGTTTGCTGGAGGGAAGAAGAGTGGTAAGTAGCCAGCCCCTTCCTGCCCACTCACAAGCTCCAAAGGACCCTTGGCCTCCTCCACCTGTCTCTGGGCAGTTCGGGGGACATTCCCCTCCCTTTCCTGCCTCTTCAACTCCAACCCCAGCCTGAAGAGCACAGGAGGAGTCAATGATGGTCCAGACTTCTGGCCAGGTAGGTGAGAAGCAGCCATGCCTCAAGCTTCATGGGTTGGTCCCGGGAAGTTGGGAATTCTGGGGGGACAGTCTCCTACCCCCACCCTACAGAACACAGAACCATCTGGGTGCCAGTCCTCCCCTGGAGTCCTGTACCTAAGACACCTGAAACTCATGCCAGCCAGGGCCAGGCCCCTCCTCTTCCCCAGACCAGTCCTCCTGGAAAACCTCAGCTAGGCTCTATGCTCTCAGCTGGACCGCGCTTCCACCGGTCTCCACCCGACCCCACCTCCGGAGAGGCTGGTAGCAACTGTTCTTGAAACGGAGTTTGGGAGCAGAGACAGGGCCGCCTTTCTCAGACACGTGTTTCCACTGCACCCTTCGGACTGGTCATCCCCAAGCACAGTGCACGCTGTCAACTATGAACGGAGGGGTGGGTGTGACCCACTTCCATGGTGACTTCAGATGGCCAGCAAGCCTCGAGGCTCCTGGCTAGGCCTGTCACTGCCAGGACTTTGGCCTGCTCGCACCCGGCACCGCATGTGAAGCTCCAGGGGGCCTGCCCCACCCTGCTGCCCGCTCCTCTCGCAGTTTTCTGCTCCGTTGAGCTATGGTTAGCATGGCACAGGGGACACTGGTTTTGACATTTGAACCTGTGGCCTGGCTCTTCTTGGGCTGCAGGGCAGGTGGGTGGGGCAGTGTCTGGTTCCTTAGCAACAACCAACTCTCTGAAGAAGAGTTGAGAATAGGACAGGTCCTGGGCCAAGTGCACTCAGGGGACTTGTGCCCCTGAGGGCTCGGGGAGGGACAGGCTGCAGGGGTGCTGTGAGGCCATGTGTACCCTTGGCCCTGTGTGCTGTGCATCTCTGGTGACCCCGCCAAGGAATAGTGCATGAGCAGCAGAGTGAAATGAAGAAAAGCTGGCATCCCAGTAGCTCCTAGCAGCCTCCTGCTCCGTGAGGGAGGTGCGGCAGGCCCAGGGACTAGTCCCAGTAAAGCACCTGTCCCCCTGCCCCTCCTCTGGTCCCTGTGGAGTCCCTGGCAGTAGGCAGGGCCCTCCTGCCCCAGGGCCCTCCTGCTGGTGCCCTTTAGTCCCTTCCCTATCCGGCCTAATCACCACCCTCTACGATCTTCTCCCTACTTCTCCCGCCCCTCCCACAGTGTCCCTGACCATGACGAGAAGGAACACCAGTGCTGCTTGAGGGGTTCCCACCTCCTGTGACCCCCATCCAGGGCACGATGAAAGCCGAAAGGGCGTGTTGTGGGCAAAGCTGGCAGCAGAAGGGAAAGTGGTGCAGGCCGGGCGGGGCGTCTGGCGGAGGGCGAGGTGGGCGGATCTGCAAAGCTCAATGACAGCCCAGAGCATGGTTCTTCAGGGCCGGTGAGCGCGTGTTGGCATCACCCCAGAGACAGGGTCTTGTTCCCAGGACACTCAAAAATGAAGACTGGGAGCTCACCCTGGGAGCGCAGGTGTCCCAAGTCGCCTGAAAAGAGTGAGGAAGGAGGTTTCCTGGAGGGAGGGTGACTCAGATCATCCCCAGAGGGCTGCCCCCTCAGGGACTGGTACCCAAGCTCACCCCAGCAAAGGCAGGTAGGTGGGCCCTGAACCTCCTTGCCTCATGCAGCCTCTGTCCAATGCGGTGTCCCTAATGTGTTGCCGGGACTACTCAGCTCACCCCAGCCTCCCTGAATCCCGGAATGGGGGAGCGGGACAGAAGCAACTCCCAGGCACTCTGGGCTGTAACCCCACTCTACCCCACCCAGGCTGGGTTGGTTCTGAAGACTGCCCTGGAGGCACCACTGTGCAGTCAGGTGTAAGTGGGGCAAACCCGGGGGAAGGCCTCAGTAAGGACAATGAAATCAGTCTGCCTACTGGTGGGCGTAGGAGAGGAGACGGTACCTTGCTATCTGGAGGCAGAGCTGCCCTTGGGCAGGAGGGGGGTCCTGTAAGCTGACCCATGTCACCCCCTCTACTCCAATACAATTGCAGAAGACTTCTGGGGCTCGGGCTAGGATAGGCCGCCCCCTGGGAGCTGCACTATGTTGGCAGGTGTACTGTGGGTCTAAGAAGGCCCACCAGGCACAGGGAACAGAATCAGCCCCGTGCTCACAGTACACACGGATCTGAGGCCTCCTTCCCTCTAAAAACGGGTGGGCCAGCCAGTGGCATGGGGTTAAGGCAGCCGGATCACACACAATAAACAGCATGGCTCCC